TTTTATTGTTTTTTTCTTATTATGTTCGGGGATAACAAGTTGTGTGAGAATAAATATTTTTTGCTAATATGATTTTTATTTCTCCTTCTTGTGGTATTAGTGATTGCTTGAGTACAATTATAATTTATTAAAGGTAATTTTTCCAATGTCTAGAAGAATAAGAAAAACTATTTTTTATTCAATTATTTATTTATTTAATAGTTTTATTTAATTAATTTTTTTCTTGTATAATTCTATCTACAAATAGCCCTACCACGAAAATTAAAATTGGGAAATTCGAGAAGTTAAAATTTGTCTGGGGCCTCCAAATTTCTGGGGACGGCCCTGCGTTTATGTACGTGCTCTTGTTACGAAGAGTTATTGAGCATAGCCCTCTAGACGTGTAGGCTTGTTAAATCTCGTAACCGAACAAATAATCGTTCAACATAGTTTGAAACTTGATGAGATTTCCCGACCCCTAGAACTTCTTCCTTTTCTCTAGAGATTTAATTGTTATTTCTTTATTCGCTTTCCTAGTTCTAATTAGTTTTAGATATTTCTCCAAATCATCCTTGATTAGATTTTTAGGATTTATTTTTTTTCGTGTGTGATTAATACCAACGCTAAATTCCGAACCGTCTTCCTCGAGAGATCGACCCGGGGAACGAATCTTTTGATTCGGTACTCGGTAAAAATAAAAATAATTTGCTACAACAAATTTGGCGCTGTTGCCGGGGAAGGCAAGTAGGACATTTGGTTTTGGTATTGATTTTAATTTTTGCGTTTCTCTTTAGTTTGTAATTATCGTGTTTTCGTTCTTTCTTTCGTGCATCTTTGTTTTTCTCTTTGTTTTTGTTTTTGTTTTCTTTTTTTTTTTCCTTTTTCTTTCTTTTCATGGTTACGTGTGGTTGTTCTATTTTGGTGTGCAAGAATTATGAACTTCAACCGTGCTTTTCCCTATCCGCATACCCAATCTTGGGTTAACGAGCCGAGCTATCATGCCGGGTACCATGACCGGTCATACTCATACTCTTCCGAGCAGTACTGGGATCCCTACCCAGTCGAGCAGTCTTACGAGTCCCATGTGTTTAACGAGAAGCTCGACCAAATTCTTTCCTTTATAGCAGCTCGAGAAGAAGAAGACGCATTCAACGCTAAGCTTGATCTCATCCTCGATCGAATGAGGGCCCAAGAAAGACAAAAAACAGAGATTGAGCTCAGATGTGCCCGTTAGAGCGAGCAATTGGAGAGTCTAGCGAGGCGCATCGACTCTATCGAGTCACGAGCCAATGAGCCCATGGTTGTGGACCCACATTCGGACCCCGTACCTTTTGATAAGCTTGAGGATGACTCTTCGAGATACAATGCCAAACTTGATCTCATCCGGGATCATATGATGGCCCAAGCAAACCGAGAAGGGGAGATTGAGCTCGGGTGTGCTCGACTGAGTGCTCAAATGGAAAATCTAACAACACGTCTCGACTCTTTCGAGTTGAAAGTCGACGACTCCCATCTTATGTAGGTGCCCAAACATGCATTCCGATACACATGTGTGAGACCGAAGAGAAAGATGATGCACTCCAGCGAGACAATGATATTTTGAAGGAAGAGATTCGTGGACTTGACCAAAAATTCCACGTCACCATTTCTCAAGTCCCTCCTCCCGCCACCGAATTGGAGCATTCACCTTCGGAGCCATTACACTGTGCTACCAAGTGGGCCGGATTTAGCTCGACTTGTTCCACGGATGTTCTCATAATCCCTGAGGATGACGATATAGCTTGGGTGGGAAAAGTTCTATGTCAATTACTGGGGATTGCTCGTGCCCACACCGGTTTCATTCAGAACATAGCCACCCGGATCCACCATTCCCGCCTTCTTGCCACACTTCCCATGCTACCACTGCTAGAGAATACGAAGGCGTGGCACGATCGTCACTTCTTTTTAGACCCCAGTTGAGTTCCTCACAGGTTTCGTCTAGCTAATGACGTTAAAGAAGCGCTTCTTGGGAGGCAACCCAAGTGGTTTATGATTTCTTAGATATTTTCTTTTATGCTTTCTAGTTTTATCTTTGAATAATTGGAGTTTTGGAGATTTGTGGTCTTCTTGATAGGATCTAGTTTTCGAGCTCAAGCACAAGGATTGAGTTGAACGAGGAATATCGAGGTTCTGGGGCTGAGCGGGGGGCGAGTGACTTACACGTGCATGCTTACTCTGCTCGATGTATTTTCGGTTTGCACACCTTTTCTCTTTTTATCTTTTTGAGTTGCTTTTTCCTTGGGTCCTTTATTCTGAGTTTTGTATTAGCTGCTAGTATTGGTTCATCATGTGATATTGCTAGGTCTTGTTCTTTGACTTCCCGGTTATGTGTTGAAGCAGTGAGGACATTGCCTCATTTTAAGTGTGGGGAAGTTGACTTTTTGCATGCTTATGTGGTGGACCGGTCTAGTGTAGGTTTTGTATGTTTTTTGAGTTGGACTTTGGAAATTTCAAGATTAGTTAAGACTTGTTTGATGAATTCGATGAGTTGTGATGTTGGTCATATGCGGCATAGCGTGATGAAATGCTTGGTTGATTACTTTGAT